AACTCCCAGAATTCCCCAGCCAGCTGGCTGGGGAATTCTGGGAGTTGAAGTCCTCCAGGCTTAACGTTACCAAGGTTGGACACCCCTGCTTTAGGGGCTGGGAAGCAACGAGTTGCCTCTTCATCTGCAGTACAACTGTCATCTTGAAGGGGCAGCCCAGATCCTGGCTAAAAAGGCCCATCTTAGTCACCTGAGATGACATTCCAGGCGACAATTTGGAAACAACCGTCATCCGTCCTTTATCCTCACCAGCATTCTTTTTTTTTTAAAGATAACACTTTTTGGGGGAGGCTTGTTCATGATTTTAAGATTTTGAATTCATGATCGTTGGGATCCCCACCCACTGCCCCTTCTTTTAGGCCCAATCGACCATCTTTAAGGGACATGCCTAGTCCGAAAATTGGGAGGGGCTTACATTTGATCAAAATGAAAGAACGTGAATATTCAATTGCCTATCAGATTTATCAAATGTGAATATTCAGTACTAGCCATAGCATTTAGACTGATATGCTACTTCCCAGTGCCTTACAGCCCTCTCTGAGCAGTTTACAAAGTTACAGAGTCGGCCTCTTGCCCCCAACAATCTGGAAGGACGGAAGGCTGAGTCAATCTGGAGCCTGGTGGGATATAAACTGCGAAATTGCAGGCAGCCGGCAGTCAGCAGAAGTCGCCTGCAGTACTGCACTCTCACCACTGCACCACCAGTGGCTCACCCTATATAGTTTGGTTAATGTCTCTAGTTTTGTTGCAGATTTATCCAAATATTTTCTGATGTTTTGGACAAATATGTAGTGGTACAATTGGAGGACATGCTCATTTTCTCCCCCAGAAAACTTATCTTTGTACAAGTCTTAAAATGTTTTTGAGAAATCCTGCAGATGCAAACTTTCTACGAGAGGAAAAGCTGCTGTTGATCTTCCCCAGTTGAACTGTGGGTGACCAGATCTCTACGGAAGGGCTATGAAAGTGTAGTCCATGTTCTCTTGGCAGACATCTAGAAATAGGACAGGTGCCCAGTGTTGTTTTCTGAGCTGTGCAAATTAACGGTGCAACATCTCTGTCAAAGCTCCTAAAGAGAGGACATAACTTACAATGGTCAGCCCAAGAACAGGCGGGATTACAGGATTTGAAAATCTTTTTTCTGCCCTTGCTCAGACACCCAGGCTGCACTTGTCCCTCTGGGAGGCAGCCAAATGTATTCAGGCTGAGGGTGAAGCATTGTTCTCTTTCTAGTAGCACCAGAAGACCTCCAGGGTCCCTTTCAGTCCTGTAATTCTAGGAGGCCTCCTGCCCCAGGGGCTCTATATTCTGTGGATGTCTCCCAACTGAGTGGAAGGAGGACGTTTCCCTTCAAGGGCCGCTTGCAATCGTGGCTGTTTTCCTGCAAGGGAGGCGTCTCCTTGAGGGAGCAACCCCTTCAGGGTACTTTGGGCCTGCAGGGATTAAGAGATCAGGCTGCTGGTTTGAGCTCCGAGGTTGGCAGCTTGGTTGCAGGCGTTTCGTCACCATTCGAGGAGACAGCGTGAGGTCCCGGCTCCTCCAAACTTCTCTGGCACATCCCAGGAGGGGGCAGAAGTGGGGAAGAGCCCGGCTGTATAATTGCCATAATGTCCAAGGGCGGGCCTAGAATAGCAAGGGAGGCCTGGGGTCAAAGGTGAGGCCTTGTTGTGCATCCCGTCAGTTCAGCTGTTACGTTCTAGAAGTGTCCACCTGCTGAAAGTCCAGCAAGGAAGATCCTCCGATTTGTCTCTTTGCTGCTTGTCTTCCCTTCCCTGATGATTGTAACTTGCAGGTGGATGAAGCGTCCCCGGTGTGGCGTCCCTGACAGAATTGGGGCTCAGGTCAAAGCTAACATGCGGCGGAAGCGATACGCACTGACCGGACGGAGGTGGACGCAGATGCACCTGACCTTCAGGTATGTCCAGCTGTTGAGGCCCAAAGCAGAGCGGCTGGGAGACCAGAGCTCAGGTGCAGCCCTTGAAGTGCTGCGTGAAAAAAGGTTGCTACATGCCAGGATCTGATGGTTGCGAGGAAGATTTTGCCAACGAGGGTTACAGAGACGGAGGGGAGGGGCTGGAGGTGGGGGTGAGGTTCACGGAGAGGAGCCTAACGCTGCAGAAGGCCAGTTCTTTGTTGGGGTCGTTGCTGGAAAATTTCCAAGACCAGCAGGGACATTTCTGTTTCCAGGACCTCACTGTTTCCAAGTGAGGTCTTTGAAGAGGAGAAATCTTACTTTAGTCTGCAGAGTTATTCGTGCATTTTGAATGTGAATTGTCCGAGGTGCACCTGAATGATGTATGTGGATTGTCACAGGTTTGGCCCCTGCTGATTTTCCAGATGCCTGTCTGGAGTCCCTGGAAGAAACTTTCTTCCTATGGGGTCTCTTAAGACTCTAAAGGCTGAGCAGATTTTGTGGCCTTCGTGGGAAGTGGGCCCCCTCATCCGAGGCCCCCACACCCAGAGAGGTGGCAGCTGTGGTGTGTTAGACCTGTGCAGGAACTGAGGTTCAGTGGCGGAGAAGCCAAGCGACAAAGGTGAGGCCTTCCGTGGTGATGGGTCCTCGTAGCCGTTTCCAGGCCCTCTCCGCTCTCTGCCTTCTCTGGAGCTCAGCACTCTCCTCCGCCGCTCTTCTGCCACAGGACTCCGCCTCACCTTTGCTGCAAGCTGCAGTTGTGCCTGCTATTCTCTTGCACCTCCCTTTTGGACAGCTTGGGGGGGAACGGGGGGGCCTTCAGCCCAACTCCTAAAGAAGCATGGGGAACTGAGAGATGGAGTGGCATTTGGGGGGGGGGGAAGG